AAATGGTAACTGTAGATGAAGATTATGTTTGTGTTTAACATATTATTGTTGCAATTTTTCTGTAGGTTTGTAATTTTTACAAACTAAAGGTTCAAAGAGGAAAGAAAATACCTTTTTTGTAGATAGGATTAATCAATTTTCACATTTTTCAATGATCTATTAAATAAGTCTATAATATCACAGTGTCTTTTTTGAGACTTTATGTTAATTTTCTTTGAGTATTTTTCTGTGTCATTATGGACTTACGGCTTTTCATAGATTCAATGTAGTCCTACTACAGTTATAGCTCGCCATTATTACAACTTTGGCCTTAGAATCCCCCATTCTGTTGACCCTTAAATTCTTTGGACATGGCCTCATTGATGTTTGAAAGCTTTCTTCCTTCTGACAAATAAAACAGCTCAAATTTACTTTATATCTGTCTTTAGGAAACATAGAATCAATAATTTTTTCAAGAGGTCTTAGTTACTTTTACTGAAATGAAAATAATATTAGTGATCAGGACGTCTGTGGCTTAAGATTTTCATATGTGAAATGAGATGAATAGCACTAGCTACTACACTGAACAGTTATAATGATTAAATGAGATAAATCACAGAAAGTACAGTGCATAGTGTCTGGTCTACAATAAATATTCAACAAATGCTACCTATAGTTGTTATCATTACTAAAATGTAAAAAATATGGAATGGATTCTCTGATTATTCCAATTCTTCTTCTAGAATTGGAGAGGAGTACATTGATCTATAGTTAATTTAGTTGCTTTAGAAAAGGCTCAGGCCATTCACCCAAGGCATTCACTTTTTATTTCCCTCCAAGTTCCTCTCACATCTTTAATATTTCTTAGCCTTCCTTGAGCTGTGGCTCACAGTCAAGTTGCTCATAATATGAGGCTCATGGATGCTGAAGATCCAAGGGAGTGCTTTGAAAGGAACAGTCCAGTGTGCTTAAAGTTGAAGATATTTTATGGGAAGCAAGACTTTCAAGCCCTTGGTGAGTTTATTTGGGTATCATTTCAGCATGCCGATTGCCTTATTGTTGGGAGTAGGTGGTAGAGAAATATTCAAAATATGTCAGGATTTACATCTATGCCCATCTAGAGACTTGAAGTCTCTAGACCGTGAGTCCACCTAGCATTGCTCAATTGCCTCTGGTAACTTTCTTGTTAGTTTTTATTGCAAGATTTCCTGTCTAAGGTAAATAATAATGCTATATCAAGGGCTTTCATGAGGAAAAGATAACACAGCATATGTAAAAGTGCTTTATAACAGCTACATGTTATATAACTACAGGATTTTGTTTTAGCATGCCTAAATCTAGTACCCTGGGTGATGTCGTAAAAACATGGGACTAGAGGTCAAGAGAGTGTCTGAATTCCAGGTATGGCTCAGTTACTGGGTGAATAATATTGGGCAAGTCACATCAACATTGTAGATTTTGGTTTCCCATTTTAAAAATGCAGATAAAAATACATGCACTTCTAGAAATGGATATGAAAAGGACTGCATCAATGCAAGTAAGAGAATTAGCTCAAGATTGCAGATGGAGCCTACCTTATCATTTCATCAGATGGAGTTATCTTATCATTTGCCTAAGCCTTATTGGATGATTGAATTAGCATCAATAAGATCCAAGGAAGAGAAGAAAGAATTTATTAATGCTCCAGATGTATTGAGGAATTCCTGTAAACTGGAGAGTGGAAAGGATCAGGACTATGGAGAAATGAAACTGTAAGAAACCACAATCTATAACACTTGTGTGAAATGTCTGCTAGAAAAGTGCAAAAGGCAGGATTAACCCAGAGTAAACAGATACACAAGTTGGAGCAAACCCAACTCAGGGCTATTATTTATCAGAGCTAGATTACTCAGAGCTTGGCTCATTGACCTTTGATTCCATCCTGCTTTTGCTAAGCATTTTGCAAGTATGAGGATCTCTAGAGTGCAAGGCAGTTAGGAGGGGTACTGGGGACAAGAAGTAAGACCCTTGGAGGAGTGGAGGGCCTCAGAGAAAGATGACAAACTATTGTTACATCTTGTAACATGTCCTATTCCATCCCCCAAAACATCAGGGGCATGAAACAGTAATTTTGCTTTTTTTAAAAAATGTCAATAGGAACTCTCAAGCTCAAAGATAAAAAGAAAACCAGGAATGACTAAAGAGTTAACACGGAAAGAGAAGTATCTAGCTCAACTTGTGTATGAATTTGCATCTGCTGAAAGAGAAATAGAGCAATTATGACTTTAGATAACTATAATTGTGATATTTTCTGTTACATGCATAAAAAAGAATCACCTAGAGATTAACTTTATTGCTGAGTACTGTCCCATTATATCTCATTTTCTATGAGTATAATCTGCTCACCGATAGGCTTATGTCACAAGGAATAGCTCCATAAATACTTGATTCCAATATTTTGCAGTTTGATCTAGATAAATATTGAAAAACTCTAGTCCTATACCGTCTGTGCTATCTTCAATAGAGACAGGTTACTTTTCCTTATCAACCACATGATCAATTCCTGTATGATCTAAAAGCAGATGATTCTGGAAAATAAAACTGAGAAAGACTGTTCTGGGCTCTTGCTGGAAGGGACTCTATCAGGTATTTCTGATGGCCAACACAGCTGTAAGTTTACAAGCACTCATCAGATGATGAGACTTATAAAATTATACCCATTAAAAGTCTTAAGGCAGTTTTCCAGGGAACTTCTGAAAGCAGACAGTCCGGAGAAGTTGACTGCCTCAAAACAAACAAAACAAAGACAAAAAACAGAAAGCCACATAAACCAATGAGCTTCCACTGAAGACCACAGAAACAAGATTCTCTTAGATGGCTCAAACTACTAACGGTCTCATTCTCTTTCATATGTTTTTATCCTTTATTTTTTTGTTTGTACTAATGTTTTCCAGTTTAAGGTTATACAATTCTGATTTTCCATAAAATATTCGCCTTAACTGTTAGTAATAACTTGTTTAAGTTCTAAGGACAATCCCACCCTAACTTTATAATTTACTTCTTTCAAGCTACTGCTAGCTCAGTCAACTTAAAGAATTTCTACATAAGGCAGCTCCTGGACGAAAAAAACCCCACAAATAGTGGACATACATTCAATTGATGCTATTAAATTGAACTTTGAACAATGATATCCTGGTCAGCAATTAATCTTTAGAATGGTTAGAAAAATGCTATTGATGAACAGTCATGGATTATTTGCTGGAACTATACTTTTGTAAAGTCCTACTGATAATAGTTGACCAAATATGATAAAACTTATCAAAGATTATCACTCAATCTAATCATATGAATCACTCCAACCCTCGGCCATACAAGCCCTTTATCAATGTTCAGAGGTATTTCCTTTGTGTTAATACTATAAATCAAATCCCAAAGGCTCAGACATTTGAAACGTTGAGTTATTCTTAAGAAAATGGTAAAAGTTTCAAAATTCTTAGACATAGAACAAAGTGAGTATTGTACCAAACTGTGTCACATTCATCTTACCAATAGTGATACTCTTTTTGGACAATACATACAAGAAGAAAACATCCATGTGCTGCAAAGATAGACATACAAATATTCCCAAGAATAAGGAACTATTTTTCATGTCAAAACCCAGATATGGAAAACCTACAGCATTAGTAAACTTAACCACACCTCATGAGAGACTCCCGGCTTTTTATCCTATGAGGGAATCAGGTTATTTTCTGCCAAACCAGGACTGGAAATCTTAGTTAGGCCATTCCAGAGTCTCTCCCCAACTCCTTCAGTAGACTGTGTGTCTTTTCAAAGAGTCTGAAAGTATCAAGTACACCTGGAGTGTACTTGCAATCAGGTGTCTGATGAGACACCTGCTGAGAATTGGAATTGTACAGCTCAAGGTGGTCATCTAGCCTTGTCCTTCATATCTGCTATCATACTAACTAACGCACTTCAAGCTATGTAGCCATATTAAACTAGTTTATGTTATGTTAACTCACAGACTTAGGGTTAATGGAACAATCTTGGATTTTCTTTGGCCAACTGGTGGGAATCTGTGCTATTATTGAAAACACGTTGGTTAAACACCAAAGGTGAGTTAGAACAATCCGTATTTAAAATAAATAAAATTCCACCTTGCTTCCTACACTTTTATAACAGGAAACTGTGTCTACCTCTCCTAAATTAGTGCCGTAATAAGATGGAGGTAATTCATCTCAATACTTTTATCTCTATTTTCAAGATAGATTATGCATGCTAAGATGTCTGGCTACATTTTGATAATGTTTTAACATGAATTTGTTTTTCTTGAACACCAAGAACCCCAAATTAATGCAAAGTCTTATCTAACATTGTAATTTGAGCATATCCACTTACATACAATGAACTAGTTAAGAATGGCCACCTTAAGTCAATATAAATGAGGAATTCGATGAAGATATTCATTGGAAAATCACACACAGTTATCTGGACTGTGTAGGACTGTGTAGTAGGGCAACATGTCTGTTTTTGACATTCTTCTCTTCATTGTGTCTCTTCATGATTAGCATGATCATATCAAAAGGGGCTGGATCTAAAACCATAGGGGAAAAGTATTTCATGCAATATATTAAGGTAGTTTTGTTTTGGGTTTTGTTTGTTTGTTTCATTTAAGAAATGTTAATGTACATTTTATATTTGTCAGGCACTTGCCTAAGCATTTCATAAATGTTAGCCCATTTAACTTAAAAAATAAAAAAACAGTAATAGTAGATAGTATTATTCACCCTACCTATAGATGAGGAAACTGAAGTACTGAGAGAATAGATAACTGGCCAAAGACACCAACTTATAAACAGTAGTATAAGGATCCAACCCTGAGACAGAATTACACGCCCAAACTTGCATAACCAGCTCCCTAAACATTGGACCCGGGTGGTGGGAGGGAGTGAATGCCTCTGGATCCCGTGCCAGCTAACAGAATCTTTCTACCTCCACATCCCAGGTTTAAAAGGCCAGGGTCCACATTAAGAGCTTCAGTTTAGCAATTTCTGTGAAAAATTTACCAAAACACATTTGCATGCCAGGATAAAGGAATTTCATATTCTGGAAAAGTCTGTTGCTTCTCATTTGTTCCGGGTGACCCCTCTGCGTGGAGACAATTTTCAAGGTGAGGACTCATCTCACTGGAGAGAATCACTGCTTTGTAACGTCCTTTTTCTCCCGCAACAAAGTGGGAAAATCAAATGTTTTTTGTTGGCTTTAGATAGAAAGTACTGAGCTTATTTATTGATACTTATACCGGCGAAAAGGAAGTCTATTCCATTTGAGAAATAACACATCTGCACCTGCTATGCAGACAGCAGATGTACTGTGGGAAAAGTTCTTGGCTGCACTAACTCAGGCTTCCATTTGGAACAGATAAATGACATGGAGGGATTTTGGAAGCTGGTGGGTGAACGAAGAGGTAATAACATTTTCAAGGAAGAATGCTGATCCAAGTAACATTTATCTAGCACCTACTGTATAGAGATAATATGCAGACATTATTCTCTTTACTCCTTTAAGAAACATTCCAAAGGAGGCAGCTTGTTCCTCGTATAAATATAACCAGGAAAGTGAAGTAGTACTCTGTTCAAGTTTAGAGAAGAAATAGGCAGAAGAATACAGACTAGAATGCAGGCCAGATTTACTGTTAGTTTAAATCATATGAAAAAGAAAGTTAATTTAAAAGATTTTACCTATAATGCTATGACCATAAAATAGTTTTTGATATTTCGTTTTCCCTTCTAAATTCATCTTTCTATATCCTTACAATTCTCATATATGTTACATATTGAATATGCACAAGCACAGCTTTACATATTCTAATAAAAAACTATGTATTGTTTTATGTTCTACATTTTCTCTTTTCATTTTAATACTCTCTCACGTATCTGTGTGTGTGTGTGTGTGTGTGTGTATCGTATTTATTATGTTATGTTCCTTAGAGTTGCAACGTTCTAAGAGATCATAATTTATGTAACCTTATCTTAGTGCAAGACATAGAAATTGTGTCTTGTTGTTTCTATTTGTTAATGTTGCTTTATAAAACCATTCTTTAGAACTCATTTTCTTTGTTTAAATTGTTCCCCTTTGAAAACTTTCCAAGTAAGGGAAAGGCTGGGTATGAAGTGCCTTTTTTTGTGGATTTTGCCCATTGCCAGTGCTGAAAGCTCCTGTTGAGGGTTTAGTATTCTTGTTTAGTGTTCTATAGGCTCCTCAGGTTCCAGTATACCTTATTAGCCTGGGTACTAAGTTTTGTTGTTGTTGTTATATTTATTTTTCACTGTGTGTATGTGTGCATGCCTGAATGTAGAGAAATCTCACATCATGTGGTTTTCAGGTATTATAATAACGTTGTAACCCCAGGAATTTGGCATCAAACTCCTTTTTCTTCCTGTTCTCTTGTCACATTCTTAAAGGATACCTCTGGATAAAAGGTTACATTTGCCTCTAGGAATATTAAACTTCCACCATCTTGAGACTCTCGAGTATATGTCATAAATGTCTGGTGATACTTTTGTTTTTCATAACTGAGGCTAAATGTTATACTGGTGGCTAGTGGGTAGAGGTCAGGGATGTTACTATATTTTCTGCAATGCAAAGAATTGCCTCCCACAACAAAGAATTGTCTGGGCTGAAATATACATAGCACTAAAGAGGAGACACTACTATAGATTCCACAGACGTTAATGGGGCCAGAAATACCAGGGACAAGTTTGTGCCATAAATTTGACAGCTTAGATGAAATGGACAAATCCCTCCAAAGATCCAAATAGCCAGAAGTTGTCCCAAAAAACCTCTAAAAAGATATATATTTACTAAAGAAATTGAATTTGTAGTTAGAATCATTTCTACAGAGAAATGTAATTGTAAGTAAAAATGTTTCCCAGTCCTAGATGGCTTCACTGTTGAAATCAACAAATATTTGAGGGGGCCAGCCCCGTGTCCGAGTGGTTAAGTTCACACATGGCCGCCCAGGGTTTCACTGGTTCGGATCCTGGGCGCGGACATGGCACCACTCATCAGGCCACGTTGAGGCGGCATCACACGTACCACAACTAGAAGGACCTGCAACTAAGATATACAACTATGTACCAGGGGGGACCTGGGGAGATAAAGCAGAAAAAAAAAAAGATTGGCAACAGTTGTTAGCTGAGGTGCCAATCTTTAAAAAAAAAAAACCAAATATTTGAGGGAGAAACAGTATTAATTCTCAACAAACTTCTTAAGAAAATAGAGGAGGAGGAAATGCTTTCTTAATTCATATTTTGTGTCTATAACTTTTATTATTTCAAAACCAGATAAAGATTTTACTAGAAAAGTACAGACTAATATCCCTTATAAACATAAGTACAAAAATCCTTAACAAAATAATAGAAGTTGATACAACAATATGTAACAAGAATAATACCTCTTGATCAAGTGGGATTTATCCTGATGATATAAGGTTAATTTAGCATTCAAAAATAAATAATTATAATTCAACATATCAGCAAGAAAAGAGAAATATCATATAATCATCCTAATAGATGTATGAAAAGTATTTGACAAATTTCAACATTGATTTATGATTAAAAAAAAAACTCTTAGCAAGCTAGAAATATAAAGGAACTTCCTTACCTTGGCAAAGCCCATCTATGAAAAATCAACAGCTACTGTTATACTTAGGTGAGAGAAGAGATGTTTTTCCCTAAGATCGAGAACAAAGCAGGGAAGCCCATCTAATCCCCCCATATACAACATTTCCCTGCAGTTTCTAGGCAGCGCAATAAGGCAAGAAAAGGAAATAAAAGTCATACAGAAGGAAGGAGTATAATTCTTTTTATTTGCAAAAAACATGCTTGATCATATACATAGAAAATTTTAAGTAGTATTCAAAAAACAATACCTACTAGAACAAATAAGTTAATTCAGTAGTTCACAGTACATAGAACAATATAGAAAAATGGATATTTCCATTAACAAGCAACAAATATTTTTTAAAAGCTCAAAATATAAAATAATTTGCATTTATTTATTTATAATAGCATTCAAAAAATTAAATAAATGAGGATAAATTTAATAAAAGATATTCAAGTACAATCAACCAAAAAACTAAAAACATTTTGCTAAAACATTTAAAGAATTTTTTTTTAATTTAAAGAAAACATAGAGAGTTACATCATATTCATGCATTGGAGTATTCAATATTATTCAGATATTACTTCTCACCCAATTGAACTACAGATTCACTGCAATCTCAATATAAATTTCAGAAGCTTTTTAAAAGAAATTCACAAGCTATTACAAAATTTACATAGAAATGCAAACAACCTAAGCAAAAAGCATGTAAAAAAATTGATAAGACTCACACTATCACATTTCAAGACTTACTGTAAAGCCACAGTAATGAAAACAGTGGTATTATCATAATAGACATATAGCAGTGGGAAGCAAATAACTATAAAGGGAAATCAAGAAACATTGAGGATGAAGGAAATGTTCTATATCTTAAGCATGATGATGGTTTCCTGGGCATACACATGTGTCAAATCCATAAAATTATACAGTTTATATGCTTTTAATTCTGCCTATTTAAATTATTCAGCAATAAATTTTTTTAAAAAAAGATGCAACCACATCTATAATAATGCTGGCAAAGACTCCTCTGTACAAGAGACTTTAGGGGGATAAAAGGTCTGTTGTTATCCCCAAAGGACAGACAAGCAACTCGGGGTGTGAGGCAGGACACATGCACATGGAATAGTTGAGAATATTCACTTGTTCAAGCAATCTCAAGCCTGTTCAAGCAGCAGGTTCCAAAAAGTAAATGAGATCTTTGGAACCAGAAACATTTTCTCTTTGAAAGAATCCAACACGGGTTCCATCTCCTCAAGTCTTTATCTTAACTGATCTTCCCAAAAGACATGTATTTCTCAAATGAACAGATCTGGGAAGCCAAAATGCGTCAGTGCTAAAGGGCTGATACATAAAATCATCTTTTTCCTGCTTCCTTCAAGGAATGATAATAATAACGATATATTAGTGCTATTTTGTGCCAGGCACTCTGCTAAGAGTTTTACATGCACTTTTTCATTCACTTGGTGCCAGTGCCTGGATGACCTCATTTAATTCTCACAACATAACTATAACATTAGTACAGCATTATTCTCAGGGTACCATTCACACTGAAGTCATTCACATTGTGATCTAGGTTAAAGTTACATCCCATTCCCTCAAAACAGAAGAAAAACCCAATGGGCTGATTTGAATAACTACCGCTAAAAATATTAATAACAACAATAAAAATAACATTTTTGAGTTATTATACACTAGAAACTCTTCTATGCACTTACTATGTATTAACTCATTTAATCCTCACCACAATTTTCTAGGTAGGGTCTGTTTTCATTCAGATTTACTAATGAGGAAACCAAGGTACAAAGAGATTAGATAACTTTTTGGAAGTTACACATTTTGTTAGTGGTGGCATTGGGATAAACACTGGCAGTAACAATCTCAAAAGATGCATTTGCATATTTTAATGATACGTTTGTTAAAATAAATGTGTCTCTAAAGACTGAAATTCAGGGTAGTGTGAAAAGTAAAGTGAAAATTTTCAGAAAGAGAGCCATGTTCTCTCTGCCCATCTCATCCTTCTTTGGAATTGGTGAGGACTTCAGTGAGAGTGGCATCAATAAAAGACACTTAAAAATGTCTTGGGGGGCCGGCTCCGTGGCCAAGTGGTTAAGTTCGCGCCCTCCACTGCCGCGGCCGAGGGTTTGGATCCGGGGCGCGGACATGGCACTGCTCATCAGGCCACGTTGAGGCGGCGTCCTACATCCCACAACTAGAATGACGTGCAACTAGGATATACAACTGTGTATGGGGGCAGGGGGTTTGGGGAGATAAAGCAGAAAAAAAAAAAAAAGATTGGCAACAGTTGTTAGCCCAGGTGCCAATCTTTAAAAAAAAAAAGGCCTTGGGATTAGACATTAGCATAGAACCTGCTGCTCTTTTTTTCTTGGTGTCTCCTCAGAACTTTCTTGATGCCCCTCCAAACTCCTGTCTTTCAGAGTAAGGCTGGAAATCTAGAGTGACCATACTTTCTCTTCCTCTCCAAGGCAGTTATTTTAGAAGTGGACAGATCTTTCTCACCTGTTATCTTCCAAGGTTCAGGTAAAGGTGTGAGGATACAGTTCCTATTGATTCAGCATCTTCTCATTCCTGACTGTTTCTTGGTCCTCTCTCTAGGTGAAAGTACCTGCCAAGATGCTCCACTTGCAGAGTCCACAGATGCTGCAGATGCTAAAAAAATCCTTGTGGAAGAGCCTCCCTGAGTCCTTAAAGGTGAGAATGGGACATTCTCAGGGAAACAAAAGGTTGCTTCACTTCCTGTGACAGAAGCGGGAAAGAGAATGAGCTTTTACCGAGCACCAATTCTGTGGCAGGAACTCACCCATGCTGCATCTCATTTAGTTCACATCACCTCTTTGCAAGGGAAGTATGTTATGCTCATGTCCCAGAAAAGGAAGCAGGGCTCAGTAATGTGACCTGCCCAATGCTGATAAATGGCAAAACCTACTCTCTGTAGACTCAAAAACTTTTCCTTATTTACTTCTAAAATATGTTTCATAATAACACTGGAAAATTTGCCTAGATTTCTCTTCAAAAGTTTGACCTAAGTACATTCTAGTTTTTAAACATTCATGCTGAGGAGGGATTAATCACTATGCATCTTCTTGGAACATGTAATAGGTCGAATCTCATTTCATCGAAACCCAAAAGATTGCCTATTATCCATGGAGGAGACCTAGAAATAATTATATACTATTCATTACTTTATTGTAACAACATGTGTTCAAAGGGATTGGATTTATGCATATTTTTATTTATTTTTCACTTTTAACATTCAGGGGATTGCCAAAACTCGTAACCGATTTTTTAAAAGCTCTTTTTCCACCTAAAGATCAAAGAGCAAGTCACACACAACAGTTCAGCACCAACACCAACAGGGACCTCAGGGCCAGGAGCAGTGGCAGCACAGAAGCCTTAGTAGCAATAGCAAGTACTTGTTGCCCTTATCTTATCCCAGTCACTGGGCTTTATCTATGAGATCACACAAGCCTCAAAACTCTCCTATGAGGAGAGTGCACTCTTCTCCCTATGTTGTAGATAATGAATATGAGACCAAGAAAAATTGAATAACTTGCCCAAGTAATTACTGCTTGGGTCAGGAATATAATCCACCTACTCAATGTCAACACTCCTGATCCTTCCTGCATGTTTTGAGAAAAATAAGCCCTCAACATCAAATGGTAGTAAGAATGGGGGGAAACGGTCGCTCACACATTGCTGGTGGGAATGTGAAATGGTACAGCCACTCTGGAAAAACAATTTGTAAGTTTCATTAAAAATTAAACGTGCAACTATCATACAACCAGAAATTACACTCCTGAGCATTTTCCTGAGAAAAATACAAATTTACACTCACACACAAATATATATACTATTGTTTGTAACACCCTTATTCATAATAGCCTTAAACTGGAAACAACCCAGATGTCCTTCACTGGGTGAATGGTTAAATGAATTATGGTACATTCATACTATGGAATACTACTGAGTGATAAAAAATAATGAATGGACCATTGATACCTCAAAACAATCTGGATGAAGCTCGAGAGAATTATGTTGAGTGGAAAAAGCCAGTCTCAAAAGGTTAGTTGCTGGGGTGGGCCCCGTGACCAAGTGGTTAAGTTCACATGCTCCACTTCCTTGGCCCAGCGTTTTACCATTTTGGATCCTGGGTGCAGACATGGCACCACTCATCAAACAATGCTGAGGCAGTGTCCCACATAGCACAACCAGAAGGACCTACAACTATAACCTATAGCTATGTACTGTCAGGCTTTGGGGAGAAGAAGAAAAAGAAAAAGAAGATTGTCAACAGATGTTAGCTCAGGTGCCAACCTTTAAAAAAAAAGGTTACATGCTGTATGATCCCATTTATATAAAATTCTTGAAATAACAAAATTAAAGAAATGGAGGACAGATTAATGGTTGCCACTGGTTAAGGAGGAGGTGGAGAGTGGGAAGGTAATATGTGTGTCTATAAAGTACCAACAAGAGGGATCCTCATGATGGAAATGTTTTGCATCTTGACTGTGTCAATGTCAATATCCTGGTTGTAATATTGTACAGGCACAGAGACAATAGCTCTGCCAAGTTCAGAGAGTAAGTAGCAGAGCCAAGATTTTACTCCAGGTATGTTAACACTTGGAGGCAAGTGCTAACCATTATGTTCATCCACTTGGCACAATGCGCTGGATATTGATCAATAAATATCATATATTCTATTTCTGTTGTTCATCCTTCTTTAGAATGTGCACCCTAATCCTACCATAGGAGCTAAGCTGATGGCAGTGACATCTTATTGGTTCTGTGGCTAAAAGGACAGACTCAGGAGACAGCTTGCATAGGTCTGTGCCTGTCTCTTCCACCAACAAGCTGTGGGCTCATGCCACATCACTAAATCTTTGCATGCTTCAGTTTTCTTACACAAAATGGGAGTAATGACAGCTCTGACCTCTTGGGGTTATTGTCAGGATGAAAAGACTCTATTTTGAATGGGTAGAACTGTGCCTTGCATACAGAAAAGCTCTGCAAATAATAGCTAATATTGTTATAGATAAGACCATAAATTTACAATGGGGTGAATCATAGATACATCTATTTCCCTCATTTGAGGCTAATACTTTGAAAGACTTGACCTAACTTTGGGGTAAGCTGAATACATTCACTTCCATTTGTAATCTCAACTATTTGTAAACCATCTGCCCACTCTGGGGAAGAGGAAGGTAAGGATTCTTCTATAGGTAGATCATGTGGTTTTATTTTCAATTACTGGAAGTGGACCAAAGAGACAACTGTCCCTGCCCTTTAATTACTATAGCCTCCACTTATTGGTGGGACATCTTTTGTCTTTACTACAGCATAATTTGAAGACATATGTTAAAAGCCTGAAACACAGGATAACTTTAGATCCAGAATCTCCCTTCCAAAAACCTTCCCAAAACAAATATCAGGCACATATGCAAAGATTTCTGCAAGAACATTCTTTGAAGAGTCATTTGTTACATTGAAAAGTTGGAAACATCTGGAATGTCCATCAAGAAAAGCTAACAAAATAAATTATGGGGCACTTTTATTCTTTTCTCTTACTAAACACAGCAAAAAAAAAAAACCCACAAAAAACCCTAGACATTATATATAAAACAAACATATGAAGACTCTGAAATATGGAAAGAAAAAGGTAGACCAAGTAGGGACCTTTGGACTCAAGGACCAGTATAGCAATGAGTTCCTTGGATTTTCTTTTTGTTTCAAATATTTCAGACTAGGTGCTGGAAAAAGCCAGAAACTCAAATGTACCCACCATCACAGGCAAAAGAAGTCCCAAGAAAACCTCTTTAGCCAATAGACCAGGAAAGGGGTAGCCTAGAAAGATAGGAAACTTTAGGCAATAATTGTCTACTCCAGCCAACCACCACAGGAAAACTGAAGCTCTATTCCCACCAGCATAGGCTGAGTAGGGAGCCTGGACTTCCATCCCTACCAGAAGTAAGGAGACACTCTTTCCCCTGTCTACTGAGGAGGTGTCAGAGAAGGTCTAGTGAAGAGTCAGGACTTTCATGATCCAGCAATAAAGAAGCCAAATAACCTTACTGTGGCATCAGTGGAAACTACACGGAGAGCAGTAAAAAGGTACCCAGTCCCTCCACTCCAAGCCAGGTATCAGTAGAGGCCTAGTGGAAACTGGAACTCCCACCCACATAGGAACATGGAGTCTCAATACCCCTCTAGTGTCAGTGGAGGCTCAATGGGAAACCTGGATTCCTACTCTCAGCTTGCTGTAAGGAGTGTCCCCTACCCTTCATCTCCTGCCAGAGCAGTGTCATAGAAAGAACATTTGAATAAGAACCAGGGTCTTATAACATACTCTCCAATATGTCCAGGATTCAATTTTAAAAAATCACTTGTCATTTAAGAACCAGGGAAATCTCAAAGTAAGTGAAAAAAGACAATTAGCAGATACCAACAGTGACATGACACAGATCTTAGAATTAACTGACAAGGATTTTAAAGAAGCCATCATAAAAATGTTTCCATGAGCAATTACAAAAACACTTGCAACAAGTGAAAAAATAGAAAGTCTTGGAAAAGAAAGAAAAGATACAAGGAAGCAGCAAGCAGAGATAGTACTTCCAAATATATAAGAACAGAAATAAAAAAAAAAAAACTCAATAGATGGACTCAACAGCAGAATGGAGAGGACAGAAGAAAGAATAAGAGAACTTGAAGATAGAATTATAGAAATTACCCAAGTTTAACAATAGAGAGAAAGTACACTGGAGGAAAAAAAGAAGAGAGTCTCAAGGACCTATCAGCCTATAGCAAAAGGTCTAACATTTATGAAATTGTGGTCTCAGAAGCAGAGGAGACGTAGCGAGACTGAAAAAAGTACCTGAAGAAATAATGGCTGAAAATTTCCCAAATTTGAAAAAAAAAAAAAAAAAAAACTTAAGCCTATAAATTCAAGAAGCTGAGTGTAACCCAAACATGATGAACCCAAAGAAATTCATGCCAATGCACATCATAGTCAAGCTTCTGAAAACTAAAGACAAAGAATAAAATCTTGAAAGCAGCAAGAGAGGAACAATCTTACTTATGGGGCAAAACCAATTTGAGTGGCAACAGATTTCTCATCAGCCATAGGAGGCTAGAAGGAAATAACAGACATACTTCAAGTGCCGAAAAAGAACTGTCAACACTGAATTCTAAACCCAGAAAAAATATCCTTCAAGAATTAAGGGGAAATTGAGACATTCTCTGGTGAAGAAAAACTAAGAGAATTGCTGCCAGTAGACCTACCCTAAAAGAATGGCTAAAGGAAGTTCTTTACACAGAAAGGAAATAATAAAAGAAAACGTCTTGGAATATCAGGAAAAAAGAACAATGGATAGTAAAAACAGGTAAATACAAAAGGCTTTCCTTCCCCTCTTGAGTTTTCTATGTTACATTTGACTGTTGCCACGAAAATTATAACACTGTCCAATGTAGGCATCAATGTAGGTCGAAGGAATATTTAAAATTATATAATATATAGAACCTTATTATAATTGAAGGAAGGTAAAGTGATGTCAATGCTGAGAGAGATGAGGGTGAGTTTGACTGTAAATGAGTAGCTCTAGGGAGATCTTTGTGGTAATTCTGTATCCTCATTGTGGTAGTTACATGAACCTACTTGATAAAATGTCATAGGACTATACGCATACATTGCACTAATG